CAATCCAAATTGATGGAAAATGTGTTAAATTGTTAAGTAAAATATTTGTTGAGTGTGTAAGCAAAATATATAAACAAATACTCGTACTTTTCTTGAACACACACACAATAAAAGCAACTCTATAGCGAGCCGTTGACAGGACTGTAAGAAACTAAAACTTCTTCTGGGCGAGTCAAACTAACTGTCAATCACATTAACATCAAATCAGAAAATACTATTGTAGGATCTATGTCTCACAATAAACCCACCTACATGATGGAGACACATATCAAACCCGCACATTCCATGGAGGGTTTTCGAGGTTCGTCTCCCCAGCCATCTGCAGTCGTAAAACTCATGCAGGATCAAGTAAGGTGAAGCATTTCCTGGACTGTTTGGCTATATCTCAAGATACGCTAAAAAGGACAGTACTTTCACGGTGCTTAAAAGCGTTTTACGGGCTTGCAAAGAACAGATAGAAATACCCTCATGACCAGTGGATGCATACATTGCTAAACTCCGATCAACAAAAGAGACAATTTTATAGCTCCCTGTCCCGCAGGAGATTCTCCAGCAGACGCTCAGAGCTGACCTGAGAGTGACCGAAGGACCCTTCCCTTTTCCCCCGCATTCCAAAGGAAAGAGACAATATTTCGTTTGACAATCGTTGCTAATCATGGAAAGTATAAAATGATCAGAGCATAGAATCACAAATAGTAGGTGGTATGTTGTATATATATGCTTGACGTGTTTCATGTAATCGGTGCAACTTTAACCAGTGTTTAATTACCCCTTTTTGAGGAAATAAGGATATTAAAATGTGTCATATGTGAAGTTTAATCTTGAACGAATGGAAAAGAGAAATGCAGAAGGTTGTAATGAAGTAAACTTTAACAGTATGTACAATATTGGCATTTAAGAGAGACTTTATAGACGTATCAACTTTATAGAGGGTGTCCTCATGTGATGAATTAAAGCCTCGTTAAGGTATCCACACTCCGCCCCGCAAGAAGTCGATTGGAAGCCAGCGTCAGGGGACGGACTTATGCCACAGAGCAAAACCCCAATGCAGAACAGAATCCATAGCTTGTTAGCCTAGCTTGCTTGCTGCTCTCCTGCTCTGGCCTGTCGTTGTGTTAGAGCCCATACGTGTGCTCACACATTTACCATCAAAGCGACCAGCCATCTAAAACTCAACACTTCAGTGATACTGCGTTGAAATCGTCAACAAACTTGAAAGTCTAAGACTCTCAGCAAAGCTAAGACTCTCAGCAGATTGCTTGCGCCTTTGCTCCATCACAGACCAACGAGGGGTTTCCCAAAGGACGTCATCCTGACGTCACCGACTAGTCAGTGACGTGGTTTCCCTCAAAGACCTCCAGAAAGCCCGCATCAGCCACAGAGTCACCTCAGCTATCAACCAGCAGAACGCAAGTACCCGTGGCCAGGGAGAATACAAAATTTACATATTCAATTGGTAATATACACTGACATCAGCTTCTCGCTGGCCGAGTAGCTGATAAAAGTATAAACTATTGAAAGTCAAAGTCAGTTTTGATCAGGTGGACCTCGAATTCTCAGATCGAGTTCTTTTAAAACCTGAGCTAAAAATAAACCTGAACTAATTAATAATGATTAATTCCCTTACAACTAAGTAAAATTATTACACTATGAAATACTGGGCCTTCATTTTCAACAGTCTCTAAAAGAAAAAGGAAAAAATATCATTTCTAAGGTTGAGAAGGAAATAGTTTAAAAATGCTGTGTTTTGTCAATGAATAAAAATTCATATAAATACAGAATATAAATACTTTCACCTGACACCTGAAGATCCTCCAGAGAGTCCTGTGATCTCCATCAGTCCATCTGGAGAAATAGTGGAGGGAGATTCAGTGACTCTGAGCTGCAGCAGTGATGCAAACCCTCCTGCAGAAATCAGCTGGTTTAAAGGAGGAAGGTTTGTAGGATCTGGAAGAATCTACAGCATCTCAAACATCAGCTCTGATCACAGTGGAGAATACAAGTGCAAGTCCAGAAATGAACATGGAGAGAGATACTCTGATGCTGTGACTTTAAACGTCATGTTTGAGTTTTATGAATCATACTCTATATTTTAATCACACACACATGCTTTCTTCCTTATTTGTCTGTATATGTTGTGGTATCTAGTCCTGTTAAACATACAGTGTTTTGTCTGTATTTCAGCAGTCAGGTGTTTCTCATCAGTAGCTCTAGCTGGTGGTGCTGCTGTCGGTGTTTTACTCGGTGGAGCATCCGGTGCTTTCGTGATGTACATTTGGTAAGACGTTCCTTTCAGAAATAACTGCTGTATGTTTGCAGGGTTAAAATATACTTGTTTACCACGGATGCATGTATAACAGTTAAAAACTGCAGTTATTCCAGTAAGGGATGTGTGTGATTTCGTAAAGTTATGTTAATTAATGAATTTTTGAACATTTCTAAACAACATTTGTAGTGGCAGAGACTCCTGTTTGTCTACCACATGGGAAACGCCATTGACCAGTGTTTAACTCGTGCTTCCTCTTCAGTAAAATCCCAAAGTTGCTGGCACTCCGACATAACACCATTATATGCCGATGGTGCCACCTCCTATAGAGGACTCGAACACACAAACACACAAGACAACCAGACGAAACAACACTTAATCCAACATATTTCAAATAAACTCAGTATAGATAGTAATATGGCTCCTACAACATTGTTGTAGAAACACGTGGTTGGTCAGTCACTTTAAGTTCATCAATCCTGAATATCTTCAGGTGATTGAATCGAGGCTAAAGGCCCTCCAACATCACAGCAGATCAGAACATGTGATATATATATATATATATATATATATATATATATATATATATATATATATATACAATATATATATATATATAACTC